TCGTCGCGACCTGATCAAACCGTCAAATATCCACTGTGTGGGAAGTCCGTGTTATAATAGATGCCATCTACTAAAATATAAAATATGAGACACACGATTCACGGATTTAATGGATCCATTCACTCACATTTAGCTCGTGGGCACTGTAGGTTTTGAAATCCACTGCGTCCGAGGTTAATTGTACCTGTCAGGAATCTTTAGAGGGGTAAAATAATAATGGGTGCCCGATTATCCATGCTGACTCACACCATATCACGTGTAGTGAAAAGTTCAAACACGGTCATGGTCGCCTTTCCCAAAGATTTTTGCACATAACATTATAACGCTCTACATGATATTTCTTTTACAGTAGTTTCTAATATACATCGCTTCATATAAACAATTTCTCGACAGGGGATAATATTCACTCGGTATTCGTATTAAATTAAGTACTGTGATTGAGTCGACTGGGCCCGCAAAAAGGGCCCGAGGTTCAAGGTGGAAGGCGACAGATTCTGCCGGCTCGGTGAAACACTATTTCCGACAACATTAAATCAGGCGTGGCAGCAGTTACTGCCCGACTACCGGTTGAAGGCATGGGACTCCATATCCGAAATCCGCAGAGCGCCTTTATCAGTAAACTGGAATCTATTCGTTTCCCCAAACCTTCCTTTCTCCACAATATTGAAGGAAGTCAGGGTGAATATAACTTTGACTTGATATTTCTAATGAGCAAACTTATCGATCTGATAAACTTGATATTACCGATGTTCTTGTTGATCATTCAGGCGGGCGTTTACCAACGTCTCTGCCAAGGAGTCTATATACAACTCCAACAATGCTTTGACCTTCAAGAACTGTGCTATCAAGTGAGCAAACTGCGGCAGGGTATTCCAGGTGCTTACAATCCAGATCAACGTCCTGCTTCGGGAAGTTTCAACTGGGCTATTTTATTTCATTCGAAGGTAGTATACGATGGGTCTTTAGATCCCTCATCCTAGAACTAATCGTAGAAGACAAACATTCGTCAAGAACTTCGGAAGTAGCAGGCGTTAGGCACCATAATGCAGTGTAATGCACTTTAATGAGATAGAAGCGTTCCGGGGATCGAGGTGTGATAAAGCCGGCCCATGACGGTAACGAGGGAACGCATGTCTAGAATCATGCGGCCGACAAAGCGAAGGCTAAGGTTACCGAGGGGTCGATAACCACCCAGGAGAACGACTTCTATGACATCACGGCGGGAACGTGGAGTCATACAAATTATCTGAGTTGTACCGGTCAATGGCGGTGCTTGTCCTAAAGATGCCTCACACGGGCTTTATCGTAGCACGAAAAGGGGCTTTTTCCGGCTCTTTTGGCCGTCATGGGAAAGCGCTTTCTGTACTGAGAATATCGATTCTTCATAGAAGTCAGTAGGAGTTTAGCCGTTGAATCCTGAAATCGTTTTATCACGATTCAGCCGATATGACGATAATCGGCCTTCATCTAGTGAGTCATCACGCTCAGTATTCAGTGCAGAAGATTGAAGAAAGACCCAAAGGCGAGAGCTAGAAATACAATCCAGCGCAGTATAACTTAAATGATTAAGAACGTACTTATGGCAACTCTGCCATTCATGCATCCGAGTGCGATAGTACCGTCTTTAACTGCTGAAGAGAAAGATCGATAATTTAAAGGGAGCCATAACTCTCTTTGACCCTGAATAGTAATCCACCGATCTGCCTGCAGTAATACCTCTGTCGCTTTTACAGACGGATTTGATGAGAAGCTTTCGTAGCAAGTTCGGATATCGAAAGATCCTAGTTCAGTAATTAGTTGCGGCAAGTGCTTGGAAAACTCAATTTTGGCGACAAGACTATCAGTGCTCAAGGTATGCTTGAGAGCGCCCGTGGCGGGATCCCACAGCTTGATGGTGTTATCAGCAGAGCCTGATGCGAGAAGCTGTTCTTCCGATCAATTGTTTGACGCGATACAAAATATTGGCACACAAAGTAACACACAAGTCAACCAAATAACGACCCAGGATGAAGGTATTCAACTTGCGGGTGATAATATAGGGATCGGTGGCTATTGTAACGTCTACCATGCGGTGCAGCCTTCATCGCTCCCGGGGTTCACAGATGCGAATTTAGCAATACAAGGTAGTTGGGATGCTTAGCTATATACCGGGACTTTTATAGTTATATAATTGGTGAAATAAGTCTCTCCCGTTTTGGTCTAAAACTAGTAATACAAGGCAGGCCATAATATATTGGTATCATGTCATCATCAGTGTTAAGAATACATGTCAGCTTGGGCATAAATAATGTGAATTTTCCTAGCATCCATTGGGGACGATAACCAAAGCCGCAAGACGACCAACGCCTTCAATATTAAGAGTGCTTTCGTTATGGAAAAGATGATAATATCCTGGTAATTGTAGCGTGTCCATCTCGCCAGTTCTCTTCTCTATTCGCACCGTAAGAGCTCCGATGGACGCGATGGGTATCACGGCCGTGAAAGTTCGCCCTATAGTAGGACGGCCCGGAAAGAAAAGAAGAATTTTCCACGAATAGGTTTTAATGTCCGAGTTCAGTGTCGCCGCACTTTTCTAATTATAGTCAGATGGCTTAATATCGGAGATACCAGGTAACAGCGCATACTTGTGATGCGTTTGAAATTACGCGAGACGCAAGCGATTCGCAGCCATAAACAGAAGGGAAATCTGTAATGTATCCAGTAGACGGAATCGGATATCGTTCTGCTCGATTTCGTACGCTATTTTGTATCGCATGGATATCGTCATCGCATTCACTCGGAAGAGGTAAAGACTCGTTTTCCGGCATTCTTCTGTACGCACTGTGTAGTTCCTGATGGCATCGGTGAGAAATGCGCTCAATGCAAACGTTGAAGAATAAAGGTCAGGGAAGGATGTGTACCTGTGCTCTTACCTATATGGCTTGCCCAAGAAATGGGATGGTAAGACGAAGTGTCGCTCCGGATCAATTGCGGCGGGGCATCTTTATTTTAAACGTGAACTGTGGCAGAAATGGTCTCGGCAAAGAGCTGATTAATACGCCGAGCTTATATGATCATATGAAACGATTGAAGGTCTTGATTATTCTAATCTACTGCAAAAAGAAGCCATATTTATGCAATTTCAGGGGCTTCAGATATGCAATAAAAGAGCTTGATCATACGATTCAAGCTCTATAATCGTACGATCAATATTGATCGATTGCTTAATCGGTTAAGCAAGGTGATGAAGTAATTGCTTAGTCAGTTCCGCGGCCACATGAACTTTCCCTCCTTCCCACGTGACCGAGGAAAGTTGGTGCCCGAGTGGCTAACCGTGCCTGACTCATTACATCACCACCCCCTTCATTAATTGAAGGATATCGCAAAAGATGTCCGCCGAGACATATTAAAGCATTAGCTACACATCAGGATACAGGAAATCGCATTCCTTAACATGTTAGGCCATTATTACAAAGAACATAAAGGCTGCAGTACGTCCTCGTACTTTATTCAGTGTATATCAGACGTGGGTTTCCCGTCAGTCAAAGGAGGTGTTAGGGGAGAGCTAACGGAGCTCCTAGGCGGCGTAATTTGATCTGCCATGAGATATCGCTGATATGGTAGCAGTGTTTGCTTGATGGTCAAATAGCTCTGGAGCGTACGGATATCTCCATGGTGCATTGTTGGTAGCTTTTCCTCGCCGTAGCCTAGGTCCCTGAAATTGCATAAATATCGGCTTCTTTTTGCAGTAGATTAGAATAATCAAGACCTTCAATCGTTGCATATGATCATATAGTTAAACTCGGCGTATTAATCAGCTCTTTGCCAAGCCCATTTCCGCCACAGGATGCTATCGAGGTCACGTGAAACAATCGGCCAACTCGTCGGAACGGGCTGAGCCCCTTGCTCCTTCCCAGCGCGCTCTTAACCCCTGTCACGCGTCCTTCATTTATTCCCCCTGAATCTATTAACTCGAACGATCCAGAGAACTTCCGAAGATATGGACACCAATAATTACTAAAATCAGGATATGTTCCAGCATAAAGATGGTTTCTTACGCGAAATGGGCTGCTCCTACAAAAACATATCATGGCCGTTGAAATAGCCCCAATAACACGCAGCTCTTATAATGTAAACCTAAAAAGATCATCGCGTATGGTCATCAGCAGTACCACAGGTGGCAAGCCACTCAGCCACTGTGCCTGGCAGGTCATGGTCTGGCCTAATTATTCTCGCGATCCTCCCAACCCCCGTCACGCGCCTTTCATTCACTCTCCCTAAATCCATCACAAATATTCCTTTCCCACGTTATAGTGATTTCGTCCCTAACTAGTCGCCGTCTGACTGATTCAGCATCGTCTATGCACAACATCAAGTATGAGAAACCCAACACGTAAAATGACCCGAAAGTCGTCTCTGAATTCCAAGCCACCGGGAACAGGGCGAGTCAGTCTTAGAAAGCATCCCATATGATTTGAAAAGGGATGACCGATGGTTTCGATTCGCAGGCTGGATTTAGAACTGTCGAAGTTTGCCTCGTTTGCTCGAAGGCTGTGTGCGGGAATAGAGATATGCTAGGAGGTGAATCCCTTACGTGGTTTCTTTTGTGGAAGCCCCTTCTGTCCGAAAACAGGCGAATGGGTATTGATGTGCGCCGTTTTCGGATATAAGGGGTTCGGATCGCAATCAGTCATGTAAGGATAGCAGAGTTGCTGAGACAAAAATTTACCCCTACATACTTGCGATGGATGGAAGGGGTATTCTCCTTGCATCTCAGCCCCTACTTTCTGCAGCGAATGACCGTGAGGGCTAGTGTTAGCCCCTGCCATCACGAGATTCAGTGTCACTCTGTTTTGTCAGGAACTGTCTTCAATCAGAACATAAATAGTAAATTGCTGTTTCTCCTCATTCTTCCGCAAGCGTTTCTCGTTTGCGGCCGTGGTCCCTAGCTCTACCAATACACGGCCGATCTGATTGGATCTTTCAGATGTCCTGGATGACTGAAACTCAAGCCCGGTTCAGACAAGACAACTGCCCATCGCGGCTATAAAGAGCAAGGTCCCTCTCTATTGTTGCATCTCTTCTTTTTCCTTCACAAGGACCTTTCAACTAACGGTTATGCGTTCTATGAATACACCACCCGAAAAAGATTGGATTGCGCTGGACAGTGGCCAGGTCCGAAGCGGACTTGGCCTTCAGTCATCCAGGACATCTGAAAGACTCAACCAGGTCGACCGTGTTCGAGCCAACGGGGTTGGGGACCACATCGCTCTGCCGCAGCTTGTTGTGTGTGGCGACCAGTCGGCAGGAAAGAGCTCTGTTTTGGAAGGGATTAGCGGAATCCCCTTCCCTCGACAAGACGGCCTATGCACCAGGTTTGCGACTGAAATCATCCTCCGTCACCAGCCAGGGGAGCAGCGAACCACGGCCACCATCATTCCGAACGTGTCGCGCGCAGAGGACGAGAAGACCAGACTCAGTGCTTTCCACCGCGACATTACCGATCTTGCCGATCTGCCAGGTATCATTGCCGAAGCTTCAAGGTTGATGGGCCTGGAGGGGTTTAGTGAGTTCGCGGATTCATCGGTCTTTGCGGCTGATGTACTGCGCTTGGAGATTGTCGGCAATACCGGCTTGCATCTGACTCTCGTTGATCTCCCTGGCCTGATATCCGTTTCCGAGAATGAGGAAGATGTGCAGCTCGTGGGCGATCTTGTCAATTCTTACTTGGAAAACTCGCGAACGATCATTCTTGCCGTGGTGCCCGCAAGTAGCGATGTGGATACACAGAGTATCATTCAACGTGCTCGTCGTTTTGATAAGGACGGCCTAAGGACTGTTGGGATTATTACGAAACCAGATCTCATCAATGACGGGGCCGAGCCTCGTGTTGCAAAACTAGCCAACAATAACGACAAAACGAAGCTAAAGCTCGGCTTTTTCCTTCTTAAGAACCCCAAGCCTGTGGAGTTGGAAAAGGGCATGACTATGTCACAGCGTCGTCAAGCCGAGTCGGAGTTTTTCGCTAGCCCGCCGTGGAAAACACTAGGACTCGATTCTTCGCGTGTCGGAATAGACAACCTTCGAACGTTTATGCAGGATCTCCTCAATTGTCATATCGAGCGTGAACTACCCAAGGTTCGAAAGGACGTGACTGAGCTACTCAACAAGACGAGCGCAGAACTTGTGGATCTTGGGGCTGAGCGACACTCGCCGGCGCAAATACGCATGTACCTCACTCGTGTCAGTACAGACTTTCATAATCTTGTCAAAGCTGGAGTCGAAGGGATGTACGGAAGTCGGGATGGTTTCTTCCAGGAAATTGATGACCAAAATGAATATCATCGTCTCCGCGCTGCTGTTCACATGGAAAACGGGAAATTTTCGAACTATATGAGGACACATGGACAAAAACGCAGAGTGGTTTCGTCTGAACATCTGAGCGAACTGGAACCAGAGAGTGGCCAGCTTTTGGTCACCGCTGAGGATATGTCGTCGTGGATCAAGAAGGTGCGGTGATCATGCGCTTTTGATGAATTAAATTAACCCTTCTAGATTTATTACCGTACTCGAGGCCGAGAACTACCGGGTAACTACAACCATACTCTGCTAGCTGAGTTATTCCATGAGCAGTCAGGGCGCTGGGCGGACATCGCCCGTAGCCATGTCGATAATATTGTGGGCTTGGTGTCTCGGTTTGTACACTCTGTTTCGGCATTCGTTATCAAAGATACGAATGTGCGTGAAAACGTCCTGCGACGCATCACGGTTTCTATGGAGAATAACGCCAGGGCGGCGTGCAGTGAGCTTGCCAAGCTACTGGAGGACGAGGCTGGTTCTCCCATCACCTACAATCACTATTATACAGACAACATCCAGAAAGCGCGGAATGATCGTTCTAGACAGGACCTTGGTACATCGCTTCACAATACCATCAACGATGATTGGAATGGTCGTTTCCACGTCAGCAACTCACCGGATGAGATCAGCCGCCTTGTGACGTCTCTCCAGAACCATGGTGTCATTGTTGACATGGAGGAGCGGGCTTGCTCCGAAGCGCAAACTGATCTAGACGCCTATTATAAGGTTTGCGTGCTACCCGGATATTTCTGACACTCTTACTAACTACATTTCAGGTCGCCATGAAAACATTTGTTGATAATGTTTGCCGCCAGGTTATTGAGAGACATATTGTTGCTAAGCTATCAACTGTATTTGGCCCGGTGACTGTCAGTGGTTATTCTGAAGAGGACCTATACCACTTGGCTGCTGAGTCCCCCCAGGTTAGTAAGCGACGTGTTGAGGCAAGTCAGCTCTTAGAAGCATTGGAGGACAGTCTTCGGGAATTGCGTTGAATTCGACTTACGCCGCTCCGGTGGGGGTTTTTCCCAGTCTCTGGTTTTCCCCCCTCCGTTGACGCGAATGTGCGAGCGGCTATGTTTTGTTTTGTTAGTCTCGATTTCTCTAGTTCGTGTTCTTTTCATGTTAGTAATGTTACAATTTGCTTTTCATAATTTTATGGACCGCTACTTTTGCGCTGGCATTAAATTACTGAGGCAGCAAAGGCTCATTGACTCAACTGGGTTAATGCCCACTGGGTATTATCACATGTCGGCAAAAGAACTCAGGCAAGCGCTAGGTAAACAACACACTTTCCGCTCGAACTGGTTTTTTTGTTTTAAAGATACAAATCAGAATTATCAAGGTGTGCAGTATGTCCGTTCTGAAGCCCAGGGCTCGCGTTAGATTCTTGAGTCGATGAGGGCTTCGTAATCTACTCGTGGATTGGTTAATTACCGGTAACCTGTTTGCAGCGGAAGGATAACTAGACTTCTCAATTGAGAATTAAAAAACAGTAGAATACTCGGCTAGATGTCTCCAGGATGTTTTATTTGATTTATTTTTGGCTTTACTGTATCCTATGCGTCGTGTGTAATCAAAACATAATGGGTGGTATGATACGACAATGAAAATATTGTTGTAAAATATAGATTATCGTTTAATCATGTCTCCAATATCGTGCCATATCATGTGGTCTATTTCGTTGCAACATCTGCACTTGTATGATAGGACCTTCATTCCGTTATTTATGCTGTAGCCCCTGCCCTAGATTTCTACAACAGTAATATGTAATGGCTGTAGTGTAGCCGTAATTATATCAGCTAAGAGCTCGGGTAAACTACTGAAGCAAGCAGAACGCCGTATTAAATAGCAATGGTTAACATTGGCAGATTAAGAAATTCGTACGTTTATGATTGTTAGTATATACCCTGCATCCACTGCCGGAACAAATGTCAAGAAGTCGGCCGCCGATGTTCAGGTGCCAATCGGAGACAACGGATCAAAGAAACTAGCCTGGCTGGTTAAAATAACAACGAAGCTCACGCTTGTCTAATGTTATAGTCATGTTATTGATTTGGGGGCATGAACATCATTTTTCGTATTATTGCATAGAGTCCTTTTTAGTAACCAAGGAGGTGCTACATACGTGTGTTCGCACTAATCCAGTTTATTGAGGGGGATTTACTGCACAGCAATCGACAACTTGTTTAAAGGGTTCGAAGTAATGTTGTGGCTAGGTCTTTGCCTGGCCATAATGACGGTTTTACTGTGAGTGGAAGTGTAGCTGCCGCAGACCTACCTTGCATAAAGCGACGTCGAAAATATGCAAAGGAAATATTATCATTCATCGTCTCCTGATCTTTAGTCGCCGCTTCCGGTCCAGTGAGAGCTGCAAAGTAAATAGTAGGAGGGTACACACAAAGTCGAAACCAATGCCACCCCTCCGGACACTTCTCTTTATTTTATCGAGTAGAGACTAGACTGTAAATAATACGATTTGGATCGTAGGCCAATCATGTCAATTTGCCAAGTCTTTTATCGGGAGCTTTACCCTTTTCGTACGGAATCAGAGTTATGGAGAACAAACGAGACTATACTGGGGGTGACATTGGTTTCGCAACTGAGTATATTTCTAGTTAGGCGCAGTACTGCTAAAATATCTTCGACAATCTCCAGGCCAGACCGCATCTCCTTTAATGACAAAAGCGGTCGAACATTATGAAGCGGCCAAACGGCTTTACAGATATGAATCACTTCGTTCGCCCAATTTGCTTTGCCATTCTTCACTTCACCATTACCATGGTCACTGCCTCAGACTCATACGGATAGTGGCATACTTATGTCTGTTTGGTATATAAGTTCTATGTCAGATGTGGCTTACCTGGTCTCGGGCTGAACAAACTCCATGATTTCAGAATCACTAGTGGACTCATCGCCTTCCGCTCTCGGAAGCTCAAAGATGTTAATTGATTCAACGCGAGTAGACTCACGTGATGCGATTTCTTATGATAGACGGATGTGGCAGAAATGGGCTTGGCAAAGAGCTGATTAATACGCCGAGTTTATAACGTAAATCACAAGCGAGCTGCGAATCTGAGCGAGCCGCGAATTTGTATTCCCATACAAAATGGCACTTTTCAACTTGGAATATCTCAGCCATACCTCTATTCTAATAAAATATATTGAAGACCTGAAGTATTATATAGGTAAATTGTATAATATTTTTTTTTATGTAACAAAGAAACCTATGGGAGTCTCAAATACATAAGGAGCGTTATAATACAGTGTAATTTATAATACCTGGACAATTAGTCTAAAGAATAGATTAAAATCTAGTATATTATCATTAAATAGTTTCATATAATCCTAATTTTAAATAATATTTTATGCGACATAGAAATGGCTGAGATATTCCAAGTTGAAAAGTGCCATTTTGTATGGGAATACAAATTCGCGGCTCGCTCAGATTCGCAGCTCGCTTGTGATTTACGTTAGTTATGATCATATGCAACGATTGAAGGTCTTAATTATTCTAATCTACTGCAAAAAGAAGCCGATATTTATGCAATTTCAGGGGCTTCGAGTATGCGATAAAATAGGCTTTGATCGTATGATTCAAGCTCCATAACCGTACGATCAATATTGATCGATTAATCAATCGGTTGAGCAAGGTGATGAAGTAATTGCTTAGTCAGTTCCGCGGCCACAACGGATCTCTTCGACATCTGGCTGAAAAGCATTATGATGTCGTTTCGGCATTCTAGCTGGTAACTTGACTTTAATAGAAGGCGCTACTACTACCAGCTCTTAACAACTCCACGGGGTTCAGACGAGTGATTATGGTATTTTAATTTATGCTAGCCGTGGCAATTGGAGTCTTGAGCCGGCTTTAAGACGTGATTCGCCATCTTCTAACGAGGTGAGCAAACGAGGGATGGGCTAGTGCAATGTGGAAGAGTGATTTTTCTTTTTCTTTTGTCTTTGGTTAAGTATATTTCGGAAGCAAATAATGCGATTTTGCTGGTTTGTAGATAGACGAACACTTATCTTAGATTCTACTCAACCTTTGTGTAGAAAGACTATTTTTTGATCATTTCTCGGCTAGGACTACCCCAAAGAAAAGGATAGATACTTGACCAGATTATTGTTCTGCAGCTCTAATCCAAACACAACACCTTTTGAGCTGAGGCTTTTTACACTGTAAAAAGGCGGCAAGTTGAACCCTGATAGCCTCCAGTTCTAAAATAGCGACAATTCGATTTTCCTTTTCCTCCGACTCCACACTAGTATCTTTTTGCTCGTCCGGGAAAAACTTTATGTCTTTTTTGAACTCGTCCTTTGCCAGATGTTCACACAGCTGATTAATTTGCGGAGAAGCCTTCTTTGCTGTTCTAGATAATTTCTCCCATTCAACATTATAACGGTGTAAATATATCGAGTCTGGCGATATGCAGCTGTTGAGAGCCATAAAGATAGGCAAAAGTACTGTTGTTATCCGACTTTGTCGACAATCCTTGGCCGTGTTACGCTGATATTCAAAGTAACGGATTTGCCAGTTTTCTAATCGGTAGAAGCCTTCTGCTTCAAGATTCAGTTGTGGAAGACGCAATGGAGGGCTAAGGCATATTTCGATCAGAAGATGGAGAAGGTTTATCACGCATTCGGCGCCTTCAAAACATGCTTTCTGAGTAGGTGCTTTGTAGCCCCTGTCAGTAAATAAATAGCATTCTTGCAGGTTTGGCGTTTGTCCACAAGCTTCTATGATAGACTTAAGCAGACACCTTCGTTCTGTGATACAATCACTATGATGATTTACCGAATAGCTCGGATGTTTTGCGTAAATCAAGCGCGTATTAGGCAGCTGAAAACGCCGTGCTTCCAGTTCGTTCCTTGGTTCCTGTAACGTTAAGCTTAACTAGGCCTCTGAGGGGAACCTGTAACTTACTTTACCCATACAGAGAATAGTATCTGGACATTTCGCGTAAATAGCTTCGATCACAAGGTCGTAAAGCCTTTTCAGTTGATCTTTTTTAAGCCCCTGTTTAAGATCGCTCCATATAAACGGTCGAATATCCAGGATTGACACATTTTCAAACAGAGACAATGCCCCATTTGACGCAATGTGAAAACCTTGCCGTAACGCATTGAGAGTAGCGCAATCTTCAACCACACAATAGACGCCACTCGCCCACGGATGTTTTTGACGTGGCTCAATGACCAAAACAAGAAGTCCTCCAGGGGTGAAGGGACCTGCCAATTTTCGGGTGACTTCAATTTCATCATCGGAGATCTTATAGCCACGAAGCTCGCTGGCATATTTGACGATTTCCTCAAAGACCTTCCGAAAAGCATTAGGTAACTCTGAGCCAATTTGAACCCAAAATAGATCTTCTGTTATCTGCTCCATAGGGATTGCCATAAGTGTTTCACACTCCCTAAAACTCTTGCAAGTATTGTGGTTGCAGACTTGAACATGGAGCGTTCTCTGATGGAACTTATTAAATATACATTGCCCTTCAGGTCTATGACGACATGATTCTCGGAGCCACCCACTTTTAAAAATTGGCCTAGATATGTCGTACCGTGTCAATGAATGGTTTCCCGTGAAATGAACCATGCTGATTGGTTGGCGTATCTAGTTGGCTTTCATTTGTTGCTGGATCCAGACACTGTTTATCAGGTCCTAGAATCACGTATGCCGGTGCAGTGTACTTTACTTACTCAGATATTGCTGTTTTCAGTTAGTTATATTGTTGCCTGCGTAAATAACG